TGGTAGGCGGTGATTTAGCCATTTATTCACATCGGCTGATTGAATAAATAAGCTTCGCTCCTTGTGGTCGATATGGTCTTTGTTCAACAATCTGCTGGCCGGTATGTGCTTTGTTTCAAGTCATTTTACTCAAGCTCACACACCTGATAGCATTCTTCGTGCCATGTTAGAGATTTGCCTGAAGCGAGGGTGGGCAGTGCCAACGTGTGCATGCCTTGACCTATGTAAGATGGTCGAGCGACGAATGTTTGTGGCTTTTGATAAGATCGTTGATCTCGACCCTCCTGAAATCAGTGGGCTTGTCGGCATCCCAAACGCTGAAGGGCTCGTGCATCGCTGGGTCCACAGCTTCCCAAGTTGCGACTGCAAGCGCAGCCCATCATGCGCTCGCTTCTTTGTATCGACTTGTCCATTGTCCCTGACTTCCGATGAGACGAGAAGACCCACGGAACGGCTGAGACATTCCGGTTGAAGATGTCGATGCACGGCCAGCGCTATGCAGAGGATGAACATAACGTCACCATTATAGTTCCCGTGTTTGAGCCCGTGTCCCCGAACTACTACATATCTGTCTCCTCCGACCGATGGTTGCATGCCGGGACCTGACTACCCATATCTTTCAAACACTTGATTCTCCCAGAAAATTTACCACCTCCCACTCCTCTTCTCGAGCTCCAGCCACTCCCGCTGTCTGCCCTGCACGACAAGGCGTTCGACAGCATATACTCGTCCACCATTCAAACATTCAATAAGATTCAGACGCAGGTCTTCCGGGCTATTCACATCTAATGAGAATGTCTTTATTGGCACATCGACTGGAAGCGGCAAGGCTATCTGTGCCGAATTTGCTCTGCTCCGCCATTGGAGAAAACGGGAGCAGCAGCCCAGGGCGGTTTGTATTGTCAGACCGAAAGACGGTGCTTACCGCCGATCAAAGCCTACGGTAGACAAAGAATTTTAAATCCAATAGTATCCCATTGTTCACCAGGGGATGGCAATCCGCATTCGTGTGGATGGCAATCGCCATGCCTCCGGATGACAATCCGCATTCGTGTGGATGGCAATCGCCATGCCTCTGGATGACAATCCGCATTCCAAGACTTAATGTGCGCCGGTATTCTGTTCTAACTTTCTCGCAGATGCGTAATGAAGTTGTTAGCGAAGGCGAGGCAATCCGCTGAAGTCGGCTCGGGCGTCGTACAAAGCCGGCCTGTCTCAGGAATCTGACTCCGGTCTTCAGCTTGGTCTTAGCCGTTGCTCGTCTCGACTGACTTCATTATTGTACAATTGTTCATCGCCACATATCTTACCATACCAGCATCAATTCATACACTCCCTTTTATTTCATTTACTGTACACATACCGTCGCGTGCGAGTGATCAGTCAGGTGTGGACGCGCCACCCTGTTCGCTTTGGAAGTTCGTTTACTACCTGCTAACACTTGTCTGCAAAGGCGAGACGCTTCGCTTGCTCACACTCAGATGTGGTCGTTCTCCCTCGCGTCTTAGGATGGATTGCAACGTAAACGCGCGCTTACTGATTCAACGGCTCTCACTGATGTGATCAACGAACTCGTCAATACTGAACGATCGTACGTCAAGCGACTTCGAATACTGAAGAACGACTATGCAGACCCGCTACGACAATTCTCCCGGAACAAGAATACCGCAATCTCGCCTCCGTATAAGGCCAAAACGTTGCTCGGGAGTATCAACAATTTTCTCCCAGTCAATGAGGCTTCTCTGCTGGATCTCGAGAAGTTGGCTTCACCCGACGGTCTCAAAACAGTCGGGGGTGTCGGGGATGTTGCCCTGCGACATTTCAAAGATATACGAGGATTCGAACACTATAGACAATACTACGTCGAGCGAGAAGAAGCCCAGTCGATATTTGAACACGAGATGATGAAGAAATCATCTGGTTTTGCCGCATATATTGTCGTAAGTGTTGATGCGATCCTCTTGGGGATGCTAATCAGACTCTTTGCTACCAGCGAATCAAGTATTCGACCACTGATACCAGGAATCGCGTTGGTCTGCGCGAGCTACTCGTGGATCCTGTTCAGCGGATTCCGCGATATACCTTACTCTTCTGCGCTATGATCAAGTGTACATGGCACCCGAAGATCCACAGCGCGCCAGATTGGTAGAAGCCGATGAAGTTGCCAGCAAGATCGACGAACAAACCAAGCGAGCAGCGATCATGCATTGTCTTAATGCAACAGTGGATGGTTTTCCTCCTGGCTTAATTTCGATTTCACGACGGTCTACCGATTGCATTGATGTCGATGATATCGTACAAGATAGCCCAACGTCTGCATCTAACTCTGCCTTTAGCCTCGCTCTTAACATGCTGCATTGTACTCTATTTCTTTTCGACGACAAGTCGATGACCGTCAAGCGACCTGGCAACGGCGAGGAAAGTGGTCGTTCGCTAGCTGGTTTGGACGATATCGACAAACTTGCGAAGACCGGCGGTTTACCATTGCGCATGAAGAAGAGTCGCTTGAGTTCCAAAGGTGTCATTGATTTACCCAACATCGTCGCTGCTGATGTCAGTGGTGCTGGTGAGTTATCATCCGCTGATTGCCACATTCAGTTTCGGTCATCCTTTCAGACTTTCACGTATATATCGAGAATCCACCTCAAGACCAAAGTGATCTCTGGTCGGTCGCTCGTGCCGTTGTCTTTCCGTTGTCTTCCCTCTTGCGCCAGTAAACCTCGATCCTGTTCGAACTACCAACGAGAAGGACCGGTTTCTCCAAAAAATATGGAATGCTCAGGCGAAATATAGGATTAAGTATAGGACTAAGTCAGGACAATTTGTTGTCTTGTGCGCTGATGAGCGTGAAGTAAGTAGCGTCGAGGAGAGGAAGAGTTTCTATGGCTCGTACTTGCTATACCAACGAACAGCCTTTTTGCAGGAGCCTAAAAAGGTGCGTTTCACTTTTGTGCGCTGGGCCATTCTATTTACACTGCCAACGCGTGCAGACCAAGATTGTCATGTTTATAGATACGTTGGGGACCGCGGACCCCATTCCCCTTGGAATGGATGGGCAACCATACGTGGTGGTCAGAATCAAACCCATGGCGGGGGAGATCTCGCGATACACAGTTACCTCGCGTGGAGTTTTGTCAGAAACTCGAACGGCAGTTTTGGCGGAACTGTGGCCTTGGGAAACCAGCTTGGTATGGAGCGGACACTCAAGGTTTGTATACGCCCTGTCTAAGAAGCTATATCTGAAGTTTCCCATTCAACTAGGCTCGGTTTTTACGGACGAGACTACCGCTTGGAACGTTGGACATCTCCCGTCATTCCTGTCGCGGATACTTCCTTCGTCATCCAAAGGCCTACCAGGCGTCAAGGCACTTGGACCTCTTCTGCATCAATTACATTCATTTCGGGGCTCCCAAATTCTGGTACGCGATGCCACAAGGACGGGCCGCAGCTTTAGAATCAACCATGAAAGGTAATCCATCAGTTTCATTCCCTTAATAGCTACTGACCGTCCTCGGCTACTTCCCGAAGGATATCTCGCAATGCCCTCAGTTTGCCCCCCGAGTTCGTTTTGGTCCCACGAGGCGACCTGTCTTTACAAAACTTAAGCCGGCTACTGCCTCATCATTTCCATGGCCGTCCCTTGGATGTCACACGTTATAGGTTCACCTGCGTTCGCATTTCTTCGACTCCTGAACACCACTCCGAGTGACGTCCATAGCTTTAAGGTATCTTCCTTCATGCGCAATTGGCTCCGGGCACATGAGGAAGAGAATAGGATTGTTGAGGACAGAAGGATTTCATAGTAAGCTACCCGTGACTATTTTTCCAATTTCTGATTAACCGTTTCATAGGGCAGCGGAATTTGCTGCTCATGCAGGCGCACATCCGTTCAGCATAAGCCCCCGTCTCTCTTTGAGCCTGGATACCGCGGAAGGCCTGCCACATGTTCTTGATATATCTTCAACAGCCTGGCAGGCGTCGAATCTAGGTCGACCAGCCTTGGAGTAGTTTGTGCCGCTGGCTGTAGCACCTCCGATCTCTCTTCACTGCACAGATCGGACATTCATAGAGCATCAAGTACAAGAGGCACCGATGGAGTCGTTGGCAATATACGGCCTCCCTCAGCACTTGCGGGATTCGCCTACCATTGATCAGGCGTACCACACCCTAGTTCCTGCTTTGTCCTCGGCAGGACTTGTCGGAAGTTCCCCTCCAAGCCAGCTACCATCTTCAAGCATGCAAATACCAGAAGCAAAGAGACTGATCTATGACTCTGCTAAACTCGCTCGGTTAGACGCCTCCTTTCAGGAGCTCAAGGCGGGCGACCATCGTGTCTTGATATATTTCTAAATGACTCGTATGATGGACCTTATGGAGGAATATCTGATCTACCGCCAGTACAAGTATTTACGTCTCGATGGCTCATCGAAGTTGGAAGATCGACGAGATATGGTGATGGATTGGCAGACATGGTCAGTGCTCGACTTAGGTTGAATGTACTCGACTCTGATACACGTTCTCTAGCCCGGATATCTTCATATTTATCCAAAGCACGCGTGCAGGTGGCCTCGGAATCAACTTGACAGCAGCAGATACTGTCATCTTCTACGATCACGACTGGAATCCGTCAAACGATGCAGGTCATGGATCGCACTCATCGTCTTGGTCAGACGCGCCAAGTGACTGTCTATTGCCTGATCACGAAAGGCACGATCGACGAGCGTATTATTCAGTTAGCTCGTGTCAAGAAAGATGTTAGCTTATTTGTATTCCTGTAATGCAGGACGTTCAACTGATGTTTCTCCAGGTGCAAGATATTGTAGTCGGCAACAAAAACTTCACAGACGTCACGAAACCCAGCGCAATTGTTCAGCTTCTCCTATGACCAGCTCGCAAACCTTGATAGTTCGAACCCTTCGGGCTCGTCTTCGAAGAAAGCAGGAAAGCGAGCTGTAGCAGCTTCGGAGGACCCTTCTGGTGATCCTAAGGTATGATTCGATTTAGTCAAGAGGGTCATTGCTAATACGCGCATAGCCGGAACTCAGCTCATCCTTGCTATGCCTCACAGGGGACGCCTTAATCTGCTTATAGGGCGGTTGTGAAGTGGACGAATCGACGTCCTCAGTCATGTTGGTAAAGATCAGGCTACATTCGACACATCTGCGTGGGGACTCTAGGTGTGAGGCACAAGCGCCACAGAGCCGAGTCGGAGTCTGAAGCGACGTGTCTTCGACGACGCGCATCCTTTTCCCCTGTCGTCCTCAACCCTGCACGCAGCGAGCATCATCTGCATTCAGCTGCTGCGTGCTTCTTCCTACACACAGACGTAGTTCGCGCTGTCGACATCGCCTTCAAGTATCGCAATCACTTCCGCAAGGACATCGTTATCGATATCATCGTTTATCGCCGCTAGAGACACAACGGGCTTGATGAACCAGCGTTCACGCAGCCGCTCATATACGAAAAATTTTGTTCAAGGAGTTTCCGGTTGAACAGGCATGTGAAAAACCGCCTTGGGCGCACCCAGAGTGTGGGGAATTGACTGGGCGAGTGCAGAGGCGATGGCGTTCGGTTCGCTGATGCTTGAGGGGTGTGATGTGCGCATTTCGGGGCAGGATGTAGGGAGGGGAACGTTCAGTCATCGGTGCGTGATGTCAATCCTGCGTTAGTATATAAGGGAGAATGACACAGTTGTAGCCACAGAGAGTGTGATTGTTCCGTTGAACCACGTGCTTACGGAGGTGAAGGGCAAGCTGGAGCTGGCACCTGCACCCCTTGGCCCACGGGCTAGAGGGAAATAGTGCGGTATTCATTCCTGCTCGACAGAACTCTGATCACACGCTAACAGTTTAATCAGGAAGGACTCGTGCGATTGATTGAATGTGCCATTAGTACCTCCAGCACTGCTTCGAAGCGTTGATCGGAATCAACACCAAGCTCCAGCAACACGACGCGGTACCTCAAGGGAGAAGAGATCAGACGCACAGGACGTCCAGATTGGCCGTTGTTCCTCAGGTAAGCGCAAACTGATGTTTAACACATCTTTCTTGTTGAAATATCCCCCTAGATCATTGCCTTTTCATCAATGACAAGAATCTCGAGGACTTTGGTGCCACATCATGTGTACCAGACGCATTGCCCAACAATAGCTCATATGCGCTCCATGCTCGATCTAGATGGTGCTCATTTTTCCCATTAGCTGAACGAATCCGTACTGGAGTCTCCCACTTCTCCCACACCCATCTGTGGTGTTGTCCCAGATCTACGATCGCTACCACTCTTTTCCAGCCCTTACCGCACATCTATACCCTTCTCACCTTCATCAGTTACCGAGATCGCTATCGCCAGCCGACGGATCTGATGGTGGCGCGTCCATCAGCCCCTACATATCTAATCACCATTATGGAATCAAACACCAACGCTTTCAACCATATCAGGCTTGGGTTTCCTCAGTCGATGGCCGCTTCTTGCGTTGCACGGTTGCGGAACTTTCTAGAGAAAGGAGTCGACTTCACGATATGTCACTACGGGTTAGTAGCGTCGTCATAAGGCTAACTTGTAACTAATCCCATCATAGCTTCTCTCGAGTCTGCACTCAAGCAGCCCATTTGAGTCCGCCATTCTTTCTAAATACACGGACTTTGTGGCGGTACGTTGACAGTGATGCAACCTTATTTTTTTTTAATGCCCAACTGAGTTCTTTGTCTAGCTCTTCGAATGGGATGGGAAAATGGAAAACATAAACGGTGCGATGCCTTCCTTCGGGCAGGTAGACTTGGGCAAACGATCGAATTACACCAATACATGATGGGTACGAGCGACGAAACTACGAAGGCAAGTAGCCTTGATTGGTCCACTGGCAAGTCTCAGTAGTGTCACTCGAGCTACGTCTCACCCGCACTTCACCTCGCTCTGTCGTCGATACTTTCCTGTCAGTTCGCCCTGCTGTCTTCACTTGATCTCTTGATGACACCTTTTACCTTCTTCCCCATCAGCAATCCTGCGTTAGTATATAAGGCGCGCATCCTTTTCCCCTGTCGTCCTCAACCCTGCACGCAGCGAGCATCGTCTGCATTCAGCTGCTGCGTGCTTCTTCCTCGACTGATGTTGCTTTCTCTCTCTCGCAATAGTCTTGTTGCTACCAAACACATCCCATTTGGAGGCCATGAACCCTGTTGCACTTGGAAAAGCCAGAGCGAAGCATACAGCTTGCCTAAAACCCTGTTTAACAGTAAGAAATAGCCAAGACTGCATGCTTGGCGATAAGGTAGTGCTGCGAGGTCTCTTGTAGATCGGAGTGCTCACACGGGCCGCTAGGTTATGTGCGTCCAACTGCATGACGATGGCACTTTCATAGGACAAGGGCTGGTAAAGCGGCAGCTCACGCGAGTCAAGCTCCGTGTCTAAAGCAGAAGGAGGATCGTCTTAACCCGATTTGCTGAACGTCGATGGTGCGTCACAGCATGCTGTTGTTCGGGAGCTTTTAATTTTATAATTCTTTGTCTTGTGACTTGCGGTTGTCTGGCACTGTCGAATCTCGACAATAAGTCGTCGCATAGCAATCATGAAAGGGCTTTCAGCGTCGGTTTTCTCGCGTCTTTGTTTTGCACAGGCTTATAATCTACGCGACTCACCATCTTTTGGTCTACTTTGGTTCTCCTAGGATCCTGGAATCTTGTTCGACCAATATGCCCGCCATTCGACGCGGGAGTACATACCTCGATGTCTCCACGACAGCACACACGCCTGAGGGGCGTCTGAAACTCGATAAACTTCATGCTGGTTGCAACCTTGCGTACCAAAATGGTGAGTGTCATTTTTACTTTGACCCTGACATGTCGTGAATGTCTGTCATATAGCTGTATGTACCGCTTTGCTATTCATTTGCGATGAAAATCGCGACCTTGATCCCGCGGATATCTTAAGCGTATCCTTTGATGCTTTCCAGACTACAAGTTCGTCTGTTAATTTCTATTCGTGTGTTCACATCGTCTCATTGTGGTCCAGTGAGAGGTCGGGCAAACGCTGCTGATATGAAAATGGGCTCTGGCAAGCATCCTCACTTGCGGCGGCTGCTCTCATTCTTTGTAAGATGTCTCCCGGTCGCGTGAGACTGATATTATTACTGAAGACGCACGTCCTACTTTCACAGCGGGAGCATGAGCACATTGACTTGACCTTTTCCCACAATGGCCGTCAGCGGAACGTGGTCCAAGAGATCGATATTCAACCAAGTTTCCGTGAAATGCAAGTGCTCGTATATAGTCAGTCGAAGTTATGCACTCATACAGTCTTCTGCTCTGTCACAGTCATCGTGGCGTTCAGGAAGTCCTGGACGGATATGGAACATTGTCACCTCGTGAAAAATTCAGGGCATATATGTCGCTTGCAACCAAGGTGTTTGGAAAGGATCGAACACCGACTGTGCTCGAGGTAGGGCGAGTATGACATCTTTTGTGGGGTTTCCTGACACGTATTACGAGAGGCGGCTAGATGTGCTTTCCAATACTCCAGAAAATATCAGGATTTGGCATCCTCTTTGCATCGAGGAAGAGATGCTGATGATAGTCAGGTAAACACCGTCGCGGACAACGAAGTCAATGAAGGTGATGACTCGATGGACTCAATGTCAGTAGGCATTTTGTATGTTATTGGGCATTGTGTTTATTGTATACAGGCAGTCCGAAGGACCCCTTGACTATCAGGTTATTCCCTTCACACCGTGAGTGTAATTTGTAAAGATTCCACTCGCTCATATACTGTACTGATATTTACCTGCAGCGCTCGTACACTGAGCTATAGCCAATCACTTTGTCTGGCGTAGACTTTAGAATGATGTTTGTTTTTGATCGCTTTGTTGGCGTAGATTTTAGAATGATGTTTGTTTTTGATCGCTTTGTTGGCGTAGACTTTAGAATGATGTTTGTTTTTATCTATCTTGACCTCTGTGATGTTCTTTGTGTCATTCCATAATTCACAAAGCAATTTGCTGGTGTCTTTATTCGTGCCACCGCACCAAAATTTCGTACAGAGGTGTAAACATTTAAATTCACGCTCGATATCACACTAGTGCTTGCCTCACAATGCAATTACACCCAAGAATCCGAACTTGAGGCGATACGATAAATTTCACGGAAACTTGGGAAAAATACCGTATCGAATCAAGCCCGGTGGTCTTATCCACATCATAGATGACCAAGCTCGCCGCTCGCATAAGAAGACTGACCACTCGATGGTGGAAGCCTTTGGCAAGCGTTGGGGTAACCACTCATCGTTCAAAGTTGGTGTCATTGATCCTTCTGGTTTCCCCACGTTCACCGTCAATCACTTCAGCGGCCCCGTCGCCTGCTCTGCTGAGGGCTTCTTGGACCATAACTTCGATGCTCCCAACTTTTATTTCGTCTCTCTTTTCGGTGGCAACACAAGCCCACCCCAAGACACTCTCTTCGGGACACTAGTGGACACATCAACCTGAATGACTCGCAGCTGCCCAACCAGCTTGAGGGTCATTCGATGCATCTGAAAAGGGCCAAGAGGCTTCCAAAGGTCTGTCATCAGTGTTTAACACCTTCCACTACTTGGCGCTTTGTCTTTGGTGCAATTTCTCACATGTTCTTCATGCGCCCTCACAGACTCTTTTGACGAATGGTCGCGGAATACGGAACGTCGACCTCAAAGGACAGTGTTTCGATCAGTGACGTATTGTGTGCCACCCTGGACATTGCGCGTGTGTACGGGTTGGATTTGATATCTTTGCCTTGAACCCCTTCTCGCTATCAGCCAAACCCACTCGGTTGACTATGTTCAGGGAGAGATCTTTCCTCTCGGCCCAGGAGGTAACTATTATTCTCAAGGAACAGGAAGGACAGCACCATCCGCCACCTCCAGAACCGCGTGCCTCCTCCGCGGGCGCTTACTACAAGGAAGGCGGAAACGAACCCACCCCACGAAAACGCAGAAAGGCTGTACATCCAGGCGATAACCCCGATTACCAACATCCGTCCATAAAGCGCGTAAGTCTCGTTATGTAGTTCATAGAGCTCAAATCGGTTTTACTCACCTTCCTATGTCTTATCCACTAGCCACCTCGTCGAAATCCTCCTCGCGCAAAGGCAAATCGGCCTGAGTCGCCCCTTGTGGAGGGAGCAGATCCTGCACCAACCGCACGGGAGTACCATCAAACTGAAGAAGAACGACATCTGACATTCTGACATCTTCTGACCTCTCGGACTGCGAGGTAAGTATGGATTGCTACACGACAGACATCCGAAGTGACTGCTGTCAGATCAACATTCTATTGCATTGCCTCCCAATGCTTTGTCACGGCCCGTCTTCCTATCTTTCTGCACCTATCGCTCCCGTCCCAGTACCCTGTCAACAAGCGCCCCATAAGTTCTCGCAGCTTGGGTTTAGTATATTCCTGCCCTCGCAATCAATGGTGTACTTTAAGCTTTCATCTCAAGCATCGCCATATCTCAATCTTCGAACACAAAACAGGTATGTACTCCATCCACCACAGTTTATCTTAACCTGATTCAAATGATAAGATGGCTCGTTGGCTTTTCCGTTGTATTCATTCTTTTTGCGATCGGATTTTGCACCTCATGTTTTGGTGACGTCTCTCGGGTATACGCCACTGAGGATAGCAACGCCTATATGATCACTGACGCCTGGCCTGACGTGGAACATGGTCCGCGAAGGCACATATCAATATGAATTCGGTGATTCCGGAAGCATAATAGTCACGGGTGAGGACTCCATCATATGCTCTATGGACATGGGCCAGACCTGGCACGCCTTTTCGCCCCATCGTTCGCTCCGTGTGCATACTGAAATGCTCCGCCCCAATGTGCCCCATAGGAAGACGCATAACGTTGGCATCCAATTTCGTCCCAAAGGCCTGACAACGGTCAAGGATTTGACGTCTCTCCTCCTTGGCCAGGTTATGCCACAGTCCCAACAACCCGGTAAAAGCCACAATGTTTCTATCTACCTTGACTTCGTCACCCTCAGGTGCCCCGGGTGGAAGCAATCTATGTAAGTCCGCTCAGCGCCATATCACCACTGGCTCACCTGCGCTTAGAGCGCCGTATTGCTGTGGATTGCCATCCGGAGGCACGAGGATTGCTATCCAGAACAATGTGAATTGCCATCTGCAGGCACGTGGATTGCCATCCGGAGCACGGACTTCAGCGCAAGTCTTGCAATCCTATCTCGGCGATGGTCCTCGTTGACAGCACATGCCGTGCCCACAGTTACCTCGGACGATATCAGTGGTCTCGACAAAGTCAAACTTGAGCTCCAGGGCGGTGCAATACCCTGTCGAGCATCCCAAGAAGTTCCTCAAATGTGTCACCGTCGAGGGGTGTCTTGTTCTACGGCCCTCCGGGGACGGGTAAGACTCTCCTCGCGAAAGCCATCGCCAATGAATGTCAAGCCAACTTCATCAGCATCAGAAGTCCCCCCTTGCCCGAAAGAATTGGCGAAGGTGGGTTCTGATTTACTTTCCAAATGGACGCGCCAAGAACCAGCACGGTCTCGTTGGAATTTTCGTCCCGTTTACCTACATCATTTTAAATATCATCAACATTTTTCTGACGTCTGTATTTTAAATATGATCAATGTTTGAAACAAAGAAATTGTGCTGACCACATTTTAAATACAAACACACTTCTGACGCACTGTGAACTTAATGTATATGCCACCTACAAAGTTAATAGATTTTGTGGCTCTTAGATTTAAAATTTGAGTGCCAGAAATAATTTATTCAAATGATGGACAAAAGGTAGACTATGTTGACGGACAAAATGATAATCCGAGCTTGATCACAACATTAAATATTATCTGGTTGCAAAATTCAAACTTCGACTAGCATATTTTGGTGACAAAAACATTGGAAAAAGGGTAAAAAAAACACCAACCTTTGTGTTGGAACAAATGATGATAGAAGTTTGGTTACGAGCATGGCACAAAGTCAAAAGTTTATCTAGGTTTGTACTGTAGAAAGAGTGTTTGAATTGTTAAAGTATATGTTGATGCAATATTGTGGACGAAATCTGACTCAATATTTAACTTCGATCAATGTTTTTCATCACGAAGAAGTGGATAAAAAGTCCAAATTCTGTCAAACATTTTGATTGCCACAAAATTGTAAAAATTATTTTAACCTTTTTTAGCATTTTTTCAACATTTTATGCTGCGAAAAAGTCATCCATGCTTCCGGTGCTATTTCTTGACTCTGCTTATCTTTGCTTTTGACTCACAGCCTCTCACAGCCTCTATCACCGAAGTTCCTGTGCTAGAGCCGTCAATCTCATTTTTATTTCCCACCCGCCAGCGTTGCTGCGTGCTTGTGAGTGGTGAAATGTCTGAGATCCTGTCACTTTTCTTCGTTAGAATTTTGCTTTGAACGCCATGGTGGTATCGAACATCGTAGGGTCACTACGTTTCCTCATCCCTCTCTACCGCTCTTCGGTATATGCTCATCCTTCCACTTCCCCAATTAGCCGACACACTCTTGGAGAGGTGCGTGAAGAATCTGTCCACAGTCTTGCTGTACGATCCCTAAAGCCTGTATTGTCAATGCCGTCAGTATCAGTGTTCACATCAGCGTCTCGAAACAAAACCGACGGTTGCTTTCTTCAACTCGTGACTCCCGATATCTGGCGTGCCTGCCTTTGTCTCAATTTATTTTTGGCATAGGCACCACAGATTTATCTCCAAGTAATCATGGTAGAGGTGCCTGCATGACTCATGGCCTGGCTATCTGCGGGTCAATCGAGGATGATGTGCAATCTGTTCCTTGCATCTTCCAATATTCTGATATGCGACTGTGCCCTTCAAATACCGGGTGCTCTACTCACCGCCCCAACCAAGACATATTGGTTCATTGTCACACGAACAGGCTGTGTGGAACGTAGTTTCCTGGTTTGTCTATCCCCTGATCTTATGACACCGATTGACTTCTCTCCTACAGAACAAGTGTACGATGTCAGTCTTTCTTCATTTGCACAGCCTCAGATCGGCAATCAGTTCTGATTCGGTGCCCTTCTATTTTTCTATCTCTCTTTATCGAGTAGTTAACGCGACTCTGCCTTCTAATGTTGATTTGTTGCTAACAAGCAGGTCAATCTAGGTGGTCGCGCACACCTGTCGTGCTGGCCCTGGCGAGTCGAGGTGTAATATATGTGCGTCTACCCACACGAAACATGACCTCCTCAGCGTTAAAGAAGCCCGACGGAGACACCTCTCAAGTAACTCTTTGTTGACAGAGCGTCAGAAACTAACATGCTCAGAGGACCTTTGCCATCGAACACGATTAGCTTGTACACTGCATGTCTTTCTGTTCCGTGTGCTCACCTATCTCTGACTATTGCACTCTCTCAGGGAGACATGAGCTGCGTCCTGGTGTCAACAGCGGCAGGAGACTGTACGTATTTTAATTTGTTGCTCGCACTCCGATGCCACAAGAAATAGGACAGGATCAGTCCCACTCACACAAGCGGAGAACCCAATTTATAGCATTCACGCGGAGCATTCTGCTAGTGTTAGCGCGCTGTTGTTCCAATACTCTCGCACGCATTTCTTTGCACCTCTTTCACCGGCGTGATGTTCTGCCATTGTCGTATGTCGGGCTTCACACCAGCGGCCTTAGAGTTTGGGTCTCAGGTGACGGTCGTTGCACGATAATGTTCTTATCACTCTCGGATTGTGAATAGATGCCTCATTTCTTGATCTCGGTATCACTATCAGTCTGGGAGACATTCAAAGCTCGGAAGATTGTGAATTCAAAGGTGACGAGGGCTTGATCAAAGAAAATCTGGTCGAGGCCGAAAAGTTGTGGGTTGGCGAGGGGCGCCAGGAAGGTGAGAAAGCCTGGAATGAGCGAACAATTGAGACTGAGATAAGAAAAGGTGGTCTACGTCTTGGCTCTGTACAATGTTAATGAGAACGATTCATGCATCCACGCTGAAGTCCAAAGCGAGCAATGAAGAGCGAGCAACAAAGAACGCTGAATGCCAAGCATCGAATGCCACAGCATATCAAACAATTTCAGCCATTACCGTACTGCCCAAGCTTACAAGTACACAATCAATATTGGCGGGTGGGAAATCAACAAAAGATTGACGCTCGCGCACAGGAACTGAATATGATTGACGACGTCAGTGCTCACATTGTAGATCTCTTCCCTCTCGTGATCAATAGACTATCATTGCCCTCTTGGTAAGATCAACTCTCTACCCGAAGTTCTAGCGCGGATGAACTGACGATCAGTTCTACTGGAAGCAAAGTGCTCTCGAGCGCTCGAGTTGGGAATCTTCAATACGACTATCAACGTCAAGCCTACAGCACACGAGGAGAGCGCACCGTACCTTCAAACACATCCAGATAATTCCTCTCCTGTTACCTGTACTTGACTACTCAACACCTTCGCTCGCTGAGACGCAGGCATGGCTTCGACACCGACAAAAGCAGCCGCTACTAAATCGATTCTGACATCAGCAACGACTTTGAAGGGCCATGAAAAGGAGATTCAATCCATATCCTACTTTCCTGACGGCCAGCGAATGATCAGCGGATCTGATGATAAGACCGCTCGGCAATGGGATCTAAAGGCGGGCATGGAGATTGAAGAAGCGCAGGGTGTTTGCGAGAAGGAGGTATATGCGGTGGCAGTATCAAGGAATGGTCGATGGGTTGTCTCTGCTGGTGGAGATGACACAACCGGGGAACTGAACGTCTGTGAAGTTGAGACGGGGATTGTGAAAGAATTCAAAGGTCACTCAAAGCAGATCACCTGCATTGATATATCCGCGGACAGCAAGCTGCTGGCGAGCGGGTCGTTTGATGAAACAGCGCGGATATGGAACTTGGAGACGGGCAAACTCGTGGCCGGTCCATTGGAGAGCGTTGATATGGTGGGCGCAATTCGATTCTCGACGGATTCGAAGAAGCTCGCAATCAAGACAGATGGGGGGTGCTGCATTGAGGTCTGGGATATTCAAAAACAGAAATTGAATGTGAGGAAAAGGGAAAAACAGTCGCTTACAGGAATCACATCCGTGCCATTTTTCTGGACAAACACAACCATCTTGGCCGCATTCAGTTTCACAAGTGATGATGCTCGGATGATCTACGAGTTCGACGGATCAACACTGGAGACTATCGGAACTCCCTTTGAAGGGCACCACCACATTGTCGAAGGTCTAGCACTTTCATTCGACTGCGCTCTCCTTGCCAGCTCTTCACTCCACACCATCAAACTCTGGGCCGTCGAGTCCCGCCAAATCCTTGCTACCTTCTACCTTCAAAATCCTCTTATCCTCGTCCTCTCACCTAACTCGCGCCACCTAGCTTACACGACATACACCCCCCCGCCCCGGGACTCGCGCCGACGAGCTTACCCGACGCACCACGAGATCCATATATGCCAAATTCCACCCAATGTCCTTTCTCAGGCCCGTGTATGCATTCCCTGCAAATATCTACTATCCGTGTGCTAACATTCCCTCACAGACCAGTGCACAAAACAAGTCAACCCTCACTCATGTACTAAAAGTACGCGCCTCATTCATTTGCTCATCACACTGCTCATCCATCACAATCATTTCAGTCTGACGCAACTCCTCGTCCTCCTGTCGTGCGTGGCAGACAACCGATAACCACTATACCTATATCACAAAAACCTCCACCTACCATTGACGCGCAGCAACCCATTTTCGTTCGCCTCCGAAAACTTCTTCCCTTTTCTCCTGCTCGCACGAACGCAGTAGCTCAAGATGACCAACCTCGTAATGCCCCAGATGTATGTCATATATCTCTTTTTTTTCACTGTAAACTCGATGATTGCACCACAGATCCCTGCTACATCGCCCGTACCATCCCCTCTGCCGGGGCAGGCCGCAACTCAGTTTGATCATGTCAGTCCTCATTTTTGTAGTAAACTGCAATGCCCGACTGAATGTACATTTAGTTTGAAATGAAGTCTTCGCCTCCCCCCTCGAACGGAGTCACACAATTCTTGCGACAGCACCTTTCTTTCCTCGTACCAAGACACAGCCACGGGCCACCAGTCATTGAAGTCGCGCCCGGGCGGAAGTTCACTGTAACGTACATGTTCTTACCTCTCAATGCCTTTTTCTGATTTTTTTTTCCCTTCAGCGTTTAGCTGCTGCCAAACTACCGGAATATAGGAAAGCAAATGACACCAGATATCCGTCTGGACAGCGAGATATCGAGTCTTCTGACAATGATTCGCTTCCGGATGTGCATTGGTGCAAGGCGTTCCTCTGCTACTATTCGTGCTGGTCTCATGGGAAACTGAGGAAGCCTCCTCGATGGCGCTTGGAACGTGTCGACGCACCCCGCAATGTGAATAGTGACAATATTCTCAATCGAGTCGCCGTGCCTCATCCCAGGTATAATACACCTATTTGTTCACTCTATTGCTCACTAATGAGGTCTGGTAGGGTCCATCACGAAGAGATTGGATTGAAAACGGTGGCTAGCCAGTCACAGCCGAGGGCAGGGCCATCTCGCCTTGTGCACAATGATAATATTCTCAATCGAGTCGCCGTGCCTCATCCCAGGTATAATGCACCCATTTGTTCACTCGATTGCTCACTAATGAGGTCTGGTAGGGTCCATCACGAACAGGTTGGATTGAAAACGGTGGCTAGCCAGTCACAGCCGAGGGCAGGGCCATCTCGCCTTGTGCACAATGATAATATTCTCAATCGAGTTGCCGTGCCTCCTCCCAGGTATAACACCTGTTTGTTCACTCGATTACTGGCTAATGAAGTCTAGTAGGATCCAGCATGAAGAGGTTGAATTGAAACCAATGGCGAGTCAGTCACAGCCAGAGGCAGGACCATCTCGTCGTGTGAAACATGACAATATTTTCAATAAAGTCGCCGTGCCTCATCCCAGGTATAGTACACCTATCCGTTCACTCAGTTACTCACTAATATAATCTGGTAGGGTTCAGGACGAAGATATTGTTTTGAAAATGGGGGCTTACCAGCCACAGCCCAGGGCAGGACCATCTCGCCCTGTGAAAAAGGACAATCTCAATCGAGCTGCTGCGCCTTCTCCCATGTACAATACACTTATTTTTTTCACTCGATTGCCGACTAATGAAGTTTGATAGGGTCCAGCACGAAGGGATTGAATTGAAGCCAATGCCTAGTCAGTCGCAGCCAGAGGCAAGACCACCATAGACGGTGTTTCTCAATCTTCATCTCGCTCAGATGCACAACCGTAGAGTAGGAGACATTTCTTCGCTTGCCCTGGATCTCGTATCATTGACTACTTTCCCAAGCTTGTCTTCCTTCGATATTTGACCAGCTCTCCTTGTACAAATTGAATCTCATGATACACACTCATCCTCTGTCAAGTCAGTACTCAACGAGCACATCTAAACTACCTGCGATCTGCTGTGTACATATATCGTCAACATATTGCGATGTGGTCGCTCCGTCCACACTCAAGATTCGACCCTTTGAGCGCACAGGTTTGTGTAATGCCAGTCTGTGGAACCGAATGCGAGTGGAAATAATGAATGCAGAAAATGTCAGAGGGAACAATGCTAGAAGCAGAAACAACACCGGTCGCCTCCATGCTCTCCAGCGTTGGTCTGTGTTGCTGCGGCTGGTTGTTGTAAATCGGAGTTTGGCGAAGGCAGGTCGAAGTATTCATCAGGTACTATATCATCGTCTTTTCTGGGAGCATCCGCTGCAGCGTTGCGCTGTAGATTAATGCATGAGGCTAGAAGACAGCGAGAAACCCCAATCGAGCGTACCTCTTTACCCTGCGCGAGAGGAACATCGACGATAGGCGGCTGTGCTTGACTCGCACGAACGGGCCACCAGGATGACAGATTGTGTGGGCGGACATTGGAGGTGGCAGATGATTGGGTGATTGGCGGTGATCGAGACTGAAAAAGTGAGTCGAATATGTGACGGCAAGTAGCCAACACTCACGTTCTGGCCCGAAAACTTGATATCTGAACGTCCCTGAGTTGTGGTGCGCCCCGAGAGAGGGTGGGGTAGGGGCGACGTAGCAGGGAACTACATTGTGAGTGTGAAGTCAACTGTGAAAGAGAGAAGAAAAGAGACATACATCCAGTGGGCCACGAAGTTGATTGTTTCGAATCTTCTGATTAGGAGGGACTGCGTTCGTGCGAGATGTGAATAGAAGAAGTCTACGGAGGCGAAGGGAAATAGGTTGCTGTGGATCTAGGTCTATTGTAGGCGGTCTCTGCGACATAGGTGTGACATATACATATATTGGTGGTTTGCGGCGCACGACAGGAAGACGACGAGTTGCATTAGACTGCAATGATAGTGATGGATGAGCAGTGTGATGAGCAAATAAATGAGGTGCGTACTTTTAGTACATCATCAAGGGTTATATTTTTGCATGCGCTGGTCTGTAAGGGGAATGTCATCACACAGACAGTAGATGTTTATGAGAAATACGTGCCCCAACCTGAGCAAGGACGTCGAGTGGGGTGCTGCATACGTAGATTTTGTTATCATTGTAGGTGGATGTCGTGTAAGCTAGTTGGCACGAGTCAGGTGAGAGGACAAGGGTAACAGGATTTCGAACGTTGAAGGTAGCGAGAAGTTGGCGGTGCTCGAAGGCCCAGAGCTTGATAGTGTGATCGTAGGAAGCGCTAGCGAGGAGAGTGCTGTCAGATGAAAGTGCTAAACCTGTGACAAGGTCGGTGTGTCCTTCGAAAGGAGTTCCGACAGTCTCCAGCGTCGACGCGTCGAACTCATAGATCGTCTTGGCGTAATCATCGACATCCTCCATAATCAAGGTGAATGCGGTTAAGATGTTTTTGTTGTTGTTTGTCCAGAACATTGGTGCAGATGTAGGTCCTATTCCACCGTGTTTCCCTTTCCTCACATCCAGTTTCTGTGTGTGGACATCCCAGACCTCAAGGCATGTCCCCATCTCTGACTTGATTGCGAACTTCTGCAACTCGGAATTCGTCGAGAATCGAACGGCGCCCACCCAATCAACACTCTTGAATGGGCCGGCCACGAGTTTTCCGGTCTCCAAGTTCCATATCTGCACTGTCCAATCCCATGCTCCGCTCACCAGCAGTGTGCCGTCCGCAGATATATCAATGCAGGTGATCCGCTTTGAGTGGCATCCTATTTCTTTCACAATCCCTGTCTCAACCTCACAGGCCTTCAGCTCTGGTCGATCTCTATCTCCACCACCAGTGACGACCCATCGACCGTCCCTTGATACCTCTACTGCCCATACGTCCTTCTCGCAAACACCCTGGGCTTCCTCGATCTCCTTACCCGTCTTCAGATCCCATTGCCGAGTGGTCTTGTCCCAAGATCCGCTGATCATTCTCTGGCCGTCAGGAAAGTAGGAAATGGATTGGATCCGCTGTCCATGACCCTTCAACGTCGCTACCGGTGTCAGAATTGATTTCATGGTAGCTGCCTTTGTTGATGCAGAAGCCATGCCTGCGTCTCCACGAGCGAGATTGTTAAGTAGTCAAGTACGGGAGAGAGGGATGATCTGGATGTGTTTGAGGGCGCAGTGAGCTCTCCTCGTGGGTTATATGCCGTCATTTTGAAGATTCCCAACTCGAGCGCTCGAGAGTACTGCGCTTCTAGTAGAGCTGATGGTCAGTTCATCCGCGCTGGAACTCTAGAAAGTTGACGTTACCAGGAGGGCATTTCCGAGCGGGTACCCCTTGATGTGGGCATAGGCTACATAGCTATCATCCTTGTCAATCATATTCAGTTCCTGTGCTACACCGCCAATCTCTTGTTCATTTGCCACCCACCAGTGTTGCTGCGCGCTTGTAAGCTTGGCTGGTGCCTTACGCCATCGACCATTTTTGCTTCGATTGCGCCCTCATCGCCTTTGCATTCACAATCTTTTTTTATATATCTCCCTAATACTGATAGTGAGATCAAAAAAATGAAGTCTCTATTCGCAATCTGAAAGGTCGAGAGCGATAAGTGCAAGGACCGTCGCTTGAGACCCGCTCTCCAAGACCACTGCTGTGAAGCCTGACGTACAATGAGGGCATTACATGATGTTGATGGCAGAGATGCAGAGTCATACCGGCAGAATGGTATGACAACAGCGCTGACACTAGCAATGTCATCGATTGAGGTCTCGACTTGTGCCAGTGGACTGATCCGGCCCTGGTGGCGTCGTAGTGCCATCAATGACTCAATACATGTAGTCTCCTGAAGTCGTTGATATCAGGACGCAGCCCATCAAGAAGGGTGTCTGTGTCGGGCTTCCTATGTGCTTGCACACAGATATTACGCCTCGGCTTATATTCACCAGTGTCAAATTGACAGATGCCATGATGCACGACCACCTAGCAATAAACCAGCATCGAAATGCAGAGTCGTATCAACTGCTCGATAATTGCTACGAGGCAGGAATTGAGCGTGCAAGGAGAGAACGGGAACCACGGGATAATGACGTACTGACAGGGCGCTGGTAGCGTCCAGGGTGGAATGCATCTTGTCCTCGCACTTGTAGACCCACAATCGTGGGTGAAGTGGTGATAAAGATTAGGAAAAAATAAGTGAGGGGTATTCTGTCATGATCTGGCCTGAGCCGTAACGCGCGCAGCATGCACAAAAATGTATCATTGAGCGCTGTGCTGAACGTGGAACACGTATTTCGCGTTTTACATTATACCTTATGAAGCATGCAGGCGGTGGACACACATGCCTGCGATGGTGCGGATAGATGCTTATGGGTCTGATTGGAGGTGGTGGACGTCGCTGAGTACCGACTAGGTCAGATAGCTGTGAAAATCATACATTAGAAACATCTTTTACATCCTGCCGATATCATACCTTGTAGATGAGCAGGACAACGTTTGTGTCAGTGAAGTTTGTTTGCTTTACTGGCGAGGGTTAAGTTTGCTACATTTCAATGGACAAATCCAAATCGGGTTTGGTCAGATCGAATTGAAGACGGCCTTCTTAACCAAATTCTCGATGTCAGGGACACTCTTGAGAAGCACTATGCATGTGCCGCGTCTGTGACAAGGTGAGCGATGATGATCGTGACGTAGTGGTCGGATGCAACATCCTTTCCAAATTGGAGAGATCACTACCAATGAGGGCGTCAAAAAAACTCGAGCACAGAGATGAGGCACATATGAGAGAACACTGTCAGAGACATGGAGGCGTTCGGACGGACGTTGCCATGGATGGAGAAGCCTGGCAGGGTTGTTCAGAAAAGAGCTACCAAAGGCAAACGTAAGCAACCAAACGAATGAGGCCATTCTGACTGACACGAGTAGTCCTAGTCCTCTTCCTCATGTGGAACGTTAGGGGATGAGTAGACATGAGAGGTATTAGAGGGCGATTCCTTGGATCGTGGAGCCCACATCGAATGACTGGATTGGATTTTACGACTCATCGGTGGAACTGGATGCACCAGGATGTCATACGGTGCACGGCTTGCGTGGCCTAGAATTGTAGGCAAGATAACAGAGCGGAACATTTCGTTGAGGATGTCTACTTAGAGAGTTGTTGACGAGGACTTATGGCGTTCGTCGTCATGGATTGAGAGCCTGGACCCAGAAATTCTGGGGCTCAGGTAAATTGCCGCACCACTGCCGCAACTTGCCGCACCCTACCGCACCACTGTCGCACCCATATCAAATCATAAGTACTACACTTATTTTCGGCCTGCACTGTTCTCGTGCACCAAATAAATGAACTAGGAGTGTTTCTCGTCCGACTCCTTAATTATCCACTTCACACTAATGCATTTGAGAGTCTGAATTCAGAGAACAATTTTGAGCATGTTGCGGCACGGATACGGTACTGGGTGCGGCAGACATGTTCCTGGTGCAGCTAAACGAATTATCAATTGGCTGAACTGTGCTACATATGCACATGCTTGCACTATCGTAGTTTCGAAGCGCAAGAAAAACTTACTCCAGGAGCCAGCCCAAAATATCCTCATTGAACGTCGCTCGCCAGGACCTGACGTGAACTCAAGTTCCTACTCCCGAAGAGCAAGAAAACACGATGCTCCAGGCTGCCTGGCTTGACCTCCAACTCAACTATGATCTGACCTCGATGGATATAGACGTCGACTTGGAGTGTCTTGGCATACTGGAACGGCAGATGTTCGAGCTCTCGTTGGCTGCAGGAGCTGCAGGAAATGAACAATGGGGAAAAGATGCTGGTGCACACCAAGACCGATGGAATCCCTATGAGGGCCTCCCTGAGCACTGGAATCATGGCGACCGAGATTCATACGCACCAAAATTTGAAGGAGAAGTAGACGCGCGTCATCATCGCTTTTCATCGCGGATCAGTCTGACATGGTTCGACTAATAGTGTGGACCGAACTTTAGCGAGGGAAGTGAGCCTGACATAGTTAAGAAAGAGAACCACACCAAAAAAACCAAACCGCGGCCACAACCAAGGAAGATACACAAGGCTTCATAGGCTGGGGCCTCGTGGTAGTAGTTTGTACTCTGAAATGAATGAGACTCAGTTTGCAAGGACAAAAGGTCACACAGATATGACATACATACCTTAAACCCCCGGTATCCATTTGCACAGGTTGCTGCAGAACGTGGTCGAGGAGATGTGTGACAGTGAAGTCAGGCAAGGCATGCAACCAGCAAAGACAGGTGTTGAATGATAGGCGGAGGCATCGAGGCGCAAAACCTGACAGGCGCGAGCCTGTGTGAGGGGTCGTTGAGTCTTCTCACCAAGTTTCGCGCAGCTGCTCATAACGGTGCTGCAAGTGGACTTGATAAGAAGGATGGTTTGGTGGTGTCGGTGCAGTGGTGTGGTAGCGCACAGCCACTGCCGCACCCAACAACAGAATTGCCGCACCGTGCCGCATCACTACCGCATCACTGCCGCACCCATCAAGTACATATATCACTGTAGTACCACTGTTAGCCTTACACAAACACCTGGAATATAGTAATGGCGTTCAGAGTAAGGTTTTGAAAGTTTTGAAAGCTATGAAACACGTGGGTAAACTTTTCAGAACCTCACGGAATGTCGGCAGGCGCAAGCTGAGTCTGAAATCAAACTTCATGCTACACGCGCAGGTATGCCTGCAGACCGTCCGCAAGTACGCCGTTCAGAACGGCTCAACGCACGCCTCAAGACTAGTCACCGACCACCAATGACTACCCAAAGACCCCCCCGTTCTAGGGGCAAGGGTACTTCAACTCGCGGCACCAGGGGACGAGGGCAAGCCACTGCCACTGCCTCTACTGCTGGTGCATCTGATCTCACCACATCTGACAATGTCCCCGGTGATGCTGTAGTGGCTACATCCTCTGGCATCAAGATCCGATGGGACAACAACAGCAACCGCACTAATACCCTCGTGCAATTCCTCACCACCCATCCTGGCGACTGTCGTGTTTTGTTCAACGAAGGAGGAAAGAAGCCGGATAACGAACCTCCCCCGTCTGGGAGTGACAAGAGCAAGATCTCTGCGGTGATCGCCCGTTGTGTATTTGAGAAGGATGAAGAGTATCAAGACTTATATGTTGACGAGCCGGGCAAGTTCACGCAGGCCGTGGGCAATCGTTTGAATTAGTGCGCCCTTTACCCCTCTTCATATGCCTTCGCTAACGCTAATTTTTAGCCTCAAGAACAAATACAAGAAGTACAATGGTCGTTTTAACCAGACTGGCGCGGGTGTTGACCCGCTTCAGCATGACGCTGAAAATAATCTACTCCGTACGTTTTATTTTTCAATCTGATTTCACTTAGTAACTGATCTTCAAATCATAGAACAAGTCATCTCGGAATTCCCGTGGTACGAAGCGCTCCACG